CTGTCAACCCTTCAAGTTAGATAGTGATGCTTCCATTTTATCAAAGGAGAAAATTAAGCCCAGAATGGTTAAGTGACCTGCCCCAGATCATACCATTAGTAAATTACAGAGTGGGAATGTAAAACCAAGATGAGCTTGCTGCATTACTTAAGCACGGGCTAAGCTGCTGTGACATAGACATCCAAAGAACAGTGAGTTATATAAGATGGAAGCTTATTTCTCTTTCATGTAATAGACTGGAGGTTAGAAGCCCATGTAAGTGGAGTGGCTCTGCTCCACAATGTCATGTCATTTCAGACATCTGACTTTCTTCTGTTGTATGGCTTTGCGACATCTTAAGGAGTTGTCCTCATCTGCACAGGTGAAGCTGGGTCCTTAGAATACCGGTGTCCTTGTGGGAAAAACTCCAAGCAAATGACCTTATGTGAATAATATGAGCTTTAATGAGATTGCTGTTGCTCCCATTGGATTGTCTGAGCTTGGTCATCGTCTCACATCGGGCTGCAAGGGTGACCAGAGAACCTGCAGTCAGGTGGCCGTGTGCCCCAGTGACACCGGGGCTCTCATAGCAAAGGGAGAAGACTGTCAAAGCTTTTGATATTTTGGCCACATAATGTTGTCTCTGGTTGTGCAGATGAGATGCTGTGCATTTGGGCTTGAGCTTGGGCTTGTGCTTATGAGAGGACCAGGGGGAGGCAGAGCAATGATGTTGTTAGGATTAAATGACAACCAGACTTCTGTTATTTCTGGAAGGTATTTTTCCATGACTCAAAGAGTGGGAGGAGGGGGAAAGTTCCTTGCTGCTGAGATATTTGGCTCTTGGAGAAGGTCCGGAAGAGCTACCTTGGTAGTCAGAGGAAGGTTTGTATTTTCTCAATATTAACATGACTCAGAATCAACATGGAAAAAATTTAAGTATGCAAACTACAAGGAAGAAAATCAAAATTACCTGCTGTTTCTCCACCCAGAGAGACCCCTGATTAGTGACCTTTCTCCTAAACAGACATGCGCATATACCTTTTATTTTTTGCAACATTTGAATGATGTGAACATACAATTTTGCGTCTGGCTGTTTTGCCTGTCTGGGACGTGAGCAGCTGCCTGTGGCTATGGGGAGAAGAAAAGCTTACTCTCCTCTAGCGCTCTGTGTTGCAGCTGTGCACTGACTACTGGTTGTAGCATGAACAGATGAATACAGCACCAGGGGCTCCATCCAGGGCCCTGGGGTGGCCCCACACAGGGGCCTGAGCGGGCAGAGGTAGGGTGGAGAGTGGTGGGCCGATGGGGGCTCTCCAAGGTCTCCCTCCTCCCCAGGGCCTCCCACGCTGTGCAGCTCCAGCTCCTTGGAGCTGTCACCTCCAACATGTTATTTTCCCATCTCTCTAGATAGTCAGAACCACTGCCTGTTTAAGCCAGCAAAGGAGATGTCTCCTGCCATGCCAGGGCTGGGAAGCGGCGGAACTGAAGATTGCCTCTTACTCCCCAGCCAGTGGAGGTGCAGCGGGTCTGCCTTGGGATCAGGTGAAGTGTAATTGGAAGATGGTCTCTCCACATTCATGCTCTCCTCACCTGGGACTAGGAATAAGAAAGGCCCACAGCCTGCCCCACCTTGGAGCTGAGGCAGCCTCCATCCCATCGGGTCACCCCTGGTTTCTGCACTCTCCTCCGGCCACCTATGCAATCCAGAGGTGCAGAGGCCCCAGGCGAGGCGAGCCTGTCTTCATTCTTAGGTGGACAGGTGGCACATTTCTTTCTCTCCAGAGCCTCAGAACGTCTCACAGAGGCATGGCGTCATCTCTGTCTTAAAACTTCCCAGACAAGGGGATCAGCCTCTCTTCTAGGGGGAAGTCAGGTTGTCCTCACAGGTGAAAGGCCTTGGCCTTGGGCTGCTGACGAGCAGAGCCTGGGGCGTGTCAGTCCTCCCCTCCCAGCCCGATGAGCCCACACGGAAGCAAAGGAGGGAAGGAAGCTGGTTCCCCAGCTGTAGACTCAGCAATGTGCTCAGCCTCCTCTTTGGTCTTCGTGTACCTTTGGCGTAGACTTCGGAACTTCCTGAGAAGGCGGGAGTGAGCTGTGGGGAAAGGAACGACGTCTCTTTCTGGAGTCGTTGCCAGCACTTGGGTCATGCAGGTCCTTCTCTGTGTCTCCTCCGACTGGAATACTCAACACGTCCTCTCAGCTGATAACAATATCTAACATTAATAAGTATAATGCTTCCCATATACGTGTGTGTGTGTGTGTATTACTTTTAAAAATGATTTGTTGTATATTTCATAAATGAAGTACAACTTCATAATAATCCTGAAATAAAGGTCAGTGGGATACATCAAATGAACTTCTTTAATCTATTTATACGGTTTGACATATGCGTAAATTAATAGAGCTAAAGAAAAGAATGGCAGGCATGGATCTCTTCAATAACTGTTGAAATCGTTCAGCACCATGCCAAAACATTGAACCCAAAGCCTTCAGTCCTAAAGTTTGTTATATGAGCTACAACGTTATCATGATGATCATTTTGAGGCTTGCACAAGGAGAACGCAGGTGTGCTGTGGCATGTTATCAACAGGAAAAAAATCACTTGTGTGTGTGTGTTTGTGTGTGTGTGTGTCTGTGTGTGTGTGTGATAGAGTCTTGCTCTGTCGCCTAGGCTGGAGTGCAGTGTTGTGATCTTGGCTCACTGCAACCCTCTGCCTTCCGGCTTCAAATGATTCTCATACCTCAGACTCCCAAGTAGCTGGGATTACAGGCGTGCACCACCATGCTGGCTAATTTTTTTGTATTTTCAGTAGAGACAGGGTTTCGCCATGTTGGTCAGGCTGATCTTGAACTCCTGAGCTCAAGAGATCTATCTGCCTGCCTCCATCTCCCAAAGTGCTGGGATTACAGGCATGAGCCATGGTGTCCAGCCCCAAGTTGTTCAATCATTTTTTAGCTCAGGGACAGACAAATATTTACTTTCCTACTCAAAATGCATGGTAAGGTTAATTGAGTTCATAGATATTATTGATGGGGTAATAAAGAGTTTACCAGATGCACAACTCAGACCACAGAGGGGTCTTCCATATGTAGCACAAGTGGCAAGAAAGGCAAATGGGGAAAGTTTACTATATCATAATACATTATATATGTATATGCTTGCTATGTATATTACATATGTAGTAAGTCTATATAGTGCTTGCTACATGATTACTACACTCTTTTATATATCTGCCTACTATATATATGCTTACTATATATTACATGTCTATGGTAAGCACTATGGTAGTTGTGTAGTAAGCACTATAATAATGTGTATATGTATGATAAACACTATATATATATATATATATATGGCACTATTGTAAGCACTTTGCAACTATTCATCTATTCAGTTATCAATTGTCACAACAGACTATGAGTGGGTTCCATTATGATTCCATTTTAAGATGAGGAAACGGAGGCCCTGTGCCAGCTAGTTACATTTGCTCCCACAGATCCACTTGGCATGCTCCCCACCTCTGGCATGCTCTTCACTCCAGGAGCCAGGTCTAGCTAGACCACACAGACAAGCTTCTGCATTCTGCACTTTTGGTTGGGTTTAGCCAGTGAGGAGCCTCATCAGGAGAATGGAGGGAGAGAGGGGAGAGTGAGGACGTGCACCTGTTACCCTGGCTTCCTCCCTACAAGATGACGGTGACTGTCTGGGTTCCCTTACCTGAGGACATAACTGCTTTTAGAATAAGGCTCTGCAGTCTCTCTCTCCCTGTGTTCCTTCTAGCTCAGTGCTGGGGACAACTCTAACACTGCTGGCCCTGTGTCCCTGCACTGGCACCTGTTTTCCCCACGCTCCGCCCACATCTTTGAAATGATCGTTTTATAAATAGTCCCTCCAGTGACCCTAATTTGGTGTTCCATCTGTTTCCTACTGAAACTCTGACTGATATGGCCACTATGGGATTTAACTCATTTGCACGAGATCATCCAGCCAGCAAGGGACAGAGCTGGGCTCTGAACCCAGGCAGTCTGTCCTGGTGTCTGTGCTTCTAACTGCCGCCCGAACCTCTCTGTGGAAAGAGCACTGGTCAGGAACCAGGGTGCTGGTTTGTGCTCTTCTGCCAACTGGCCATGCAGCTTTGGGCAAATAATGAGATCTCGGTTTCTGTTTCTCAGGCATACAATGAGGTGGTTGCAGTTCCTTTTTGTTCTAACACATGGCTTCCCAAATTCCAGCTGTAAGTCAGTCTCTTGCAGCCCTGCATTTCCTAGGGCCTTTCTTTGCTATTAGTTGTCGCTGTGAAAGCACAAGTTACACTTAACTCCCTAAAACAACTGAGGACACAATTTGCAGGGGCAGTGTTGTACTAAATAAAGCTGTGCTCCATTGTGAAGGTGTTCCGCCTCAGGAAACTGCTCCTTTCTCATTCGAGTTCAAATGTGGTCCCGATTTGCTTGTCTTGTTTATTTATGTCCCTTCCCTCTGAACTCCGTTTAATTAAATAACCAAAAAAAAAAAAAAAAAAAAAAAAAAGCTGTATTCACTGTGAGTTGCCATCTTCATTCAGAAAAATGCTGAGCACACCAAAAGCCAGCAAAGTTCTTGTTTTTGCAACTCAGTGAAGCCTGCTTTCTTTTTCATGAGCACCAAATGACTGCATGCATGCCAACCACGGAAATTAGGATTTGGTTTTGGTTGGCAAAAACGATCATTGACCTGAATCAAATGTCAGTTTTACTCTAGGGGCAAGAATTTTGTGATTGAAGAATACTGTTCAGGGGTAGGTTCTGCCCATCAGTTCCCCCAGGGAGCTGGGCACAGTGGGTTGGAGCAAATAGAAAGAGTGAGGGAGGCTTGAATGGGACTAAAGGGGACACAGTTTTGGGGCACACCACATGGGAGATGGGGAACACAGCTTGGAGAGATCTTCTGGATGCAACCACCACAAAGGAGGATAACTCACAAGTAATCCTGCGGCTGCCACCCCTAGCCTAACACCAAGGCAGAGGAAGGCTGACAGACACAGGATTGATAGCATTTATTTAATGTGAAAAATGTTGGAGGGTCTTAGTGGACCACAAGTTCACGAAGTTGGTGATCCTTCAAGACAAAGAGGTCAAGGGTCCAAAAACTTAACGTTTTAATCCAAAGTTACAAAACTTGGGCAAAGCCACTTTCTTTCTGTAAAGTCCATGCTCATTCCTTTATACTGTAGGTTCCCAGACCTGGAGAATCGAAAATATGTGTAGATTCTCAGGCCCCATTCCTGACCTCCTGAATCAGAAAATTCACAAGGGTAGCTTAGGAATCAATATTTTTGCTTTGGAATGCATCAAAAGGATACGATGTTGGGATTAGCACCTAAATAACCAGGGAATGGGCGGAGTACATGGGGCCCCAGTGGAAACTAGAGTGGCCATTAGTTGATAATGGCCAAAACTGAGTGATGAGCATATCGGGTTAATTTCACTATTTTCTCTACTTAATAGGCATCGCGGGAGGGACTGAGTAAAGTGTCTCTAAAAGGGACATCTTTTAGAGATGAGTGTTATCTTTTTCCCAAACAGTCAGCAGAGCTGTAGCCATCAAGCATTATGCAATGTGGGAAGCAAAGTGCTGGAAGAACCTTGAAAGGCTGAGTCTCCCCGCTGCACGCTGGCATCATCACCATAACCACTCTCTTCAAGAGGATCATCTGTTTGGGGCAGGATTTGCTCTTCTCCTGGGCTTATACTAAATAACCAGCAGAGGGAAACACACAAGAAAGTTTGGCACATTGGATGTTTTCTCAGGCTCAGCACAACCAGCTCCACCTGCTCAACGTCACACGAAGAGAGTCAACACTGCAGCACCGGACACAGGCAGGGGCCAGCCACCCTGGTGTTGGCAAGCAGCCCACGCAGGAGACAGAACTCCAGGTCAGCCTGGCAGTTCACATCATGTGCGGGGACAGCGGGTAGCAGTGGCAGCAGAGCGCACGAACACGCTGGCTTTGGGGAGATGCAGACCTAGCACCAAGTCTGATTTGGTCATTGCTGTGGGCAGGTTGTCAAATCTCTGGGATCCTCCGTTTTCTTATCTGTAAAATGAAAATAATAATACAGTTGAGCATCCCTACTCTGGAAATCCAAATCCAAAATGCTCCAAAATCCAAAACTTTTTGAGCATCAACATGACACTACCAGTGGAAAATTCCAACCTGGCTTCATGCGACAGCTTATAGTCACAACTTTGTTTCATGCACTAAAGTATTTAACATATTACATAAAATCAGTTTTGGGCTGTGTGCTGCATATGAGGTGTATACGAAACATAAATGAATTTCATGTTTAGACTTCAGTCCCATTCCCAAGATACCTCATTATGTATATGCAAATATTCCAAAATCTGAAAAAAATACAAAACACTCGTGGACCCAAGGATGTCAGACAAGGGATATTCCACCTGTAATACTGCTGAGGTCCTGGCTTGGGAGGATTTCTGGAGGTGGCACGTGGGAAGCATTTAGCAGAGGGTCTCATGCATGAGGAATGGGAGTTATTCTTCTTATGGAATCTGCTCTCTGGCTCTCCAGCTTCCTTGGAGCAGAGGCTGCCCAGTCTCTGCCTGCAGCCCTGTCTTCCACTTCAATGTGCTCCAGCTTCAGTGTGCTCCAGCGGACTCTGGGGCCCAGAGCTGCATCTCTTTGCCTGAAGCCTTTCTCTGTAGCTACAGAAGGTCATTCTACCCCCAGGCAAGGCAGTCCAGGAGGAGAATTCATGACAGAAGCAGTCTTTGAATCCTGCACGGCAACACTGAAGCCTCTCCCACCCACAAGGTGTGTGTTTTCTGCAGGCTCCCAGCTCCCTGTGGCATTAGGCTCCCATTACCCACAGCCATGGCTGCTGTGATAACACACCCTGTAAAGACCGCATCCCCTTTCCTGTCTCATTTCACTACTCCCCTAATGATGTTTTCCTTCACCTCCCAAAGAAGCAACATGTGCTTGAGCCCTTTCCCAGGGATCGCTTCTGGGGGTAACTCAAACTAAGGCACTGCCCTCTACCCTCCATGTTCTCCTGATTTCTTCAGTATCTCAGGCTCCTCACTCAAGCTGACTTCAGATCTCATGTCTCCCTCCTCCTGTCCTTTTGGTGGTGGCCGCTGTGTGCCATGGCCAGATATCCAGTGGAGGCCCCTCATCACAGCTGTGGTGGATGTGAACTGCGTGCCCCTGCCTTAGGTGCAGCCTGAGTGGGGTCCCACCCCACAGTCTAAAGCCTCTGAGGTGCTCCCCTGCATTCCTGCAGGTAGGCTGTGTTTCTTGAAGAAATGCAGAATGTGCTTCTTTCCCTTAGCTCTGTCATCTGGATCCTAAAGCAGCCCACAAAGCAGTCACTTGGACCCATCCCAGACCAGCCCTACGGTCTCCTGTGGTGCCAGTTGGCTCAACAACACATCTTTATTTGCCCCATCCACCTCCCAAATAAATCACTGTGCTCAAATCTTTGCCTTGGGGTCTGCTTTGGGGGCTCCCCAAACTGAGACAGCTGGTGTTTGAAGCAGTCTTGGTAGCAGAGTTTCGTAGGATTCTGCTCTTGGATCTTTTGCTGCTCAGAGGGCAACAAGGCCCCAGTTCTTGGTGGTAAGTGGGTGGTGATGACCCCTTGGCATACATCATAACTGTTAAGAATGTCTTCACTTGGTGAATAAGCTACTGCAGCTCCACCCAGTAAGCAGCCGGCATGCCAGGGTGGATGCAGGTCTTTGGTATACTGCTCTCTGACACTGTGGCTAGGACTTCCCACCTACCACATTTCTGCCCTGCCAGTGGCTCCCAGTTAGGCTCTGGTGGGGTGGGGGGAGGGGGAATGGGAAGCTGGAGGAAAACTGGAGGCTAGACAAGAAAGAAAGGACATGCTCCTTCTCGCCTCCTCCCTTCGTCTGGTGTCAGGTTCATCCCAGCAATGATACACCACCTTTGCAGTTACAACACTTGGTTCCAGTAGCAACAATTGGTTCCAGTTAATGGCTTTGCCCAAACCAGCTTCATGGCACCCCTTAGGGATACAAGCACCAGTTAGCTGGTGCCCTCTACTTAGACAAAACTCTTTCCTGTGTGCACCGCCCCCCCCAGTACTGGGGTGATAGCTGCTTCCTGCCGTTACCACCTCTGTGATACCTCAGTGAGGGTGGCCAGCAGTCCTGGTCTGCCTGAGACTAAAGTTTTTCCCAGAGCACAGTGCTTTAAGTGCTAAAACTAGAACAGTCCTGGGCAAACTGGGATGGTTGTTCACCCTATCTCAATGTGCCCATTTAGACCTGTCTGGTTCCTCAATTCTTGGTATTAAATTCTCTCTGTAAAAATAACTGATGTATTTTAAAACTCCTGTCTGGAGCCTGGTTGATACAGGAAGAAGTGCAGGTGCTAGAGGATGCACCAGCTTGTGCAATAATATCACTAGCATTTGAGAGCTATGGTGGTGACAGCACATACAAGTGCGGTGGAGATGACTGAGGATTGTTAGGTGCATCAATGCCCTGAAGGGGGAAAATAGCCCAGCATGAGTCAACTAACAATCAAAGAAAGCACAAAATTAGAAGCCAGAAAACCTCTATGGCAGCATGTAACACCTACAGCCAGTCCTAATGCACTGCCAAGAGAGTGCTTTACAGCTTGCAAACAATGATGACCTTCTGTTAATGCCAGAACTGCCTTGGCAGCAGAAAGGGTAGAATGTCTAGCAAGGTAGGCATACAAAAATAGATTTATTATGTAAGACCAGAGAATCTACCAATTAACCAGGCTCTGTAACTGTATGGCACAGCCTGCCGAAAATTAAGCTTATGATCTGATAAAAGAATAGCAAAGTCTGAATTTATGGCTCCAGCAAATGTTCTATGCCAAAGTCAAGCAGCTGATAAGGAGGAGGGGACCTGAGGACCTGAAATGAGGACTTTCAGGTAGATGTGCTTCAGAACCTTCAATCCTCAGATTCCCTGGAACTCTCTGGGCTTGTAGAAGTGGCCCACTTCCCTTGTAGAGAGAAAAGCCTTCCCTTATCCCAAGACCACACAAAGTCCTCACTCAAGGCAGAGGCTTTCTGAGATGATGAGTGCCCTTCTCAAGATTTCCTCCATCAGCCCTCACAGCTTCTAGACCAGGAGTCAGCAGACTTCTTTTGTAAAGAGACAGCAAAAAATTTAGGCTTTGTGGTTTGTACAGTGTTTGCCATAATGATTCAACTCTTCCAGTGTATCACAAAGGCAGCATAGACAATATGTAAATGAATGGGTCTTTCGATAAAACTTTATTTACAAAAACAGACAATATTTGACACATGGGCCATAGTTTGCCAATCCCTGTTTAGGCCAATAATTGGTACATACCTCAGAATGTTAGATGAGAGAAGTACTGTCATTGTTTCAGAAAGGGATGTAGCATCTAGCTAATATGTACCAACATGACCCTGGAAGACATGTTTGGGGCTGCATTTTGAGTATGCTGGACTGAAGGAGAGTTTATGGATATGTGGGCTATCTCCTGTGGCTCAGGATGCAGTATCCTGGCAAGAACACCTAAAACCAGTTCTGATGCACTGCCAAGATAGTGCCTTACAGCTTGCAAGCAATAATGACCTCTTGTTAATGCCAGGGCTGCCTTGGCAGCAGAAAGGGTAGAATGTCTAGCGAGGTAGGCATACAAAAATAGATTTATTGTGTAAGACCAGAGAATCTGCCAATTAACCAGGCTCTGGGAGAGCCCAGAGGGTTTGCTCTCCATTAGCAATATAAGGAATATGTCAGTTAGGGGGCCATCAACATTGTTGAGAAACTTCTGGTGATTGACCTTTCTAGGCTGCTATGGGTCTGGGCTCCCTCTTAGTGTCATTGGGTATGATGGGATTCAAGAACAGCACAGCACAGTTGGCAGCACTTACCCATCAAAGGCAAAGTAGACAAATGATTGTAACAGCAGCAAAGTTAGAAGGACAATCTGGGCTCTTATCTGCAGGAATCAGGGAGTAGCAACTAATAGACTGTGGTGTTCCTAGCAGTGAGACTGGAACATATTGTTTGAACTATGTAACTAAAGATCAAAAGCTGATGAGCAGAAGACTGATGTCAGCTGTTGCAATGAAAAATCTTGATCTTTTGCCCAGTTTCCAGACCTAAGCCACTTGTTAGACCCAGAGGCTGTATTGAAAGGGAGGCTGGGTACCCCTGAGAAATGACCTTGTATTGCCACATTAAGCATACACAGTAGTGATACCCCCTATCTATTACCAAAAAGATCTATGGGCATTTCTCCTGAGGACTCAGATCTTTGAAGAGCTGTGGACACAAGATCTGAGCTGAAGCTGATACCATGGGACTAGTGCCATCACAACACCCTCTGTTGATGTGAGGAAAGTCCTGGCTTCAAATCTGTCTCCTAGTGAGGCCAATGGACCTATGCCCTAGCTGCTATTCATTTTCCTGGTCTCTGAGTTCATAATCAAAATAGACATACTTAACAGTGGGAGAACCTGTTATAAAATAAGAGCCATGATGCTATGAAATGCCTAGTGGATGTTTTAAAAAATTCCTCACCCCAGCCAAGATAGAAAATGAGAAATACTGTCTCTTTCTGGATTAAAATGCCACCCTCCAAGGCTCAAGGAAGGCAGACATTATGATGGTCCCCATCATATCCCTAAATAATTTACTAGTCCCATCACGCAAAAATGAGATGGCGCATTGCAGATGAAGATGGACTACTGACAAATTAACCAAGTGGTAGCCACAATTACAAGTGCTGGAATAGATCAACACAACGTCTATCACTAAGTATAATAATCTGCCAGATGCATTCTCTCTCTCTCTCTCTCTCTCTCTCTCTTTGAGATAAGAGTATCACTCTGTAGCCCAGGCTGAAGTGCACTAGCATGATCTTGGTTCACTGCAACCTCTGCCTCCTGGGTTCAAGCAATTCTCGTGCCTCAGCCACCAGAGTAGCTGGGATTACAGGCACGTGCCACCATGTCTGGCTGATTTTTGTATTTTTAATAGAGATGGGGTTTCATCATGTTGGCCAGATTGGTCTCGAACTCCTGACCTCAGATGATCTACCCACCTCGGCCTCCCAACGTGCTGGGATTACAGGCATGAGCCACCAGGCCCAGCCATAGCAGATGCATTATCTTAAATTTCTATTAGGAGAGAGGATCAGAAGCAACTTGCCTTTACTAGGAATAGAAAACAACATACATTCACAGCATTGGCCTAGAGCTCTGTGAATTTCCTATTGTTTGTCAAAGTATAATTCAAAGGAGTTTGGTTGTCTAGATATTCTGCAGAACATTCTGTTAGTCCACCATATTGAGGACATCATGGTAAGCAAACCCAGTTAACAGGAAATTTAAGTATTCTGAATACCCTGGTAGGATTTATATGCATCAGAGCATAGGAGATACACTCTAAAATCTTCAGGGACCTGCTACTGTGGCAGTTGTTAGAGGGCCAATGATTTGGGGCATTTCAGGATAGCCCCTCCAAGCTGTAAGACAAAGGCATAACACTTATTAGAACACTTCAGATTTTGAAGATAGCATATACCACACTGAGAAATACTATTCCAACTCATTTACTGGCTTCCAGTTTTGAATAGAACCCAGAGAATCTAAAACCTTTCCCTCCTCAGTGAATCGAGACCTTTATCATCATGTTACTCTTGATCCCTCATATTAATTCTTTGTTCCAGAGTCTACTTTGTCTGATACTAACAAAGGTACTCCAATATTCTTTTGATTGGTGATTTCATAATATATCATTTTCCATGCTTTTACTTTTAAATTTTTTCTTTATATTAAAAGTATATTTCTTGTAAACAGCATAGCTTTTTTAAAAAAAATTCAATATGACAATCTCTGCCTTTTAATTTGTGTGTTTAGACCATTTACATGTGATATATGTATGACATGGTTTGTATCAGTACAGATATTTATAATGGTAGATTTAAATCTACCACTTTGCTAGTCGTTTTCTATTAAACTCACATGCTTTTCATGGTCTTTTTCTTCTTTTTCTACCTGCTTTTCAGATTGAGCATTCTATGTTTTCATTTTAGCTCTATACTCAGTTTATTAGTTATACCATTCTTTTTATTTTTAGTTGCTTTAGAGTTTACTGTGTACATATTTGATTTATTACAGTCTAACTTCAAATATTATGCCATTTCACAAAGTTCTTGTAAAGCAAGAACTTTACAAAGTATACTCCCATATGTTTTATTATTGTTGTCTTAAACTCTAGAGTAGAGTACTTTGTGAGCCTTTTTGCTTTAGGCCAGTGATAGGCACACTGATTTGTGATTGTGCCTATTCCAGCCTGCCACTGGTTATTGTAAATAAAGTTTTATTGGAATATAGCCATTTGCTTACATGGCAGCCTTCAGGCTACAATGGCAGAGTTGAATGGTTGCACTAGAGACCACGGGCCCACAAAGCCTAAGATATCTGCTATGTGGTCCTCTGTAGAAAGAAAGTTTATTAATCCCTGCAAATAGTCAACTATTTTTAAGGTAATTAATAATAGGCAAAAATGACCCTTATATTCACCATTTCTGAAGTTCATTTCTTTGTGTAGATCTAAGTTTCTGATTGGCATCATACTCCTGTCTGAAAAACTTCCTTTAATATTTCTTACAGGCTGGGCGCGGTGGCTCACACCTGTAATCTCAGCACTTTGGGAGGCCGAGACAGGTGGATCACGAGGTCAGGAGATCGAGACCATCCTGGCTAACACCGTCTGGTGAAACCCCGTCTGTACTAAAAATACAAAAAATTAGCCGGGTGCGGTGGTGGGCACCTGTAGTCCCAGCTACACAGGAGGCTGAGGCAGGAGAATGGCGTGAACCCGGGAGGTGGAGCTTGCAGTGAGCGGAGATTGCGCCACTGCACTCCAGCCTGGGCGACAGAGTGAGACTCCGTCTCAAAAAAAAAAAAAAATATATATATATATATATACACACACATACACACACATATATATCTTACAGATGAGGGCTGCCAACAATGAGTTCTCTAAGCATTTATTTGCCTGAAAAAGTCTTTATTTCACCTCCATTTAAAAATGTATATTTGTTAGGTGTGGAAATCTCTACTAACAGAAAATGTCTATCAAGACTTTAAAAGCCTTCCCTTGCCTTCTGGTTTCCACTGTTTCTGGCCTCTTCCAATCAACTGGCATTTTAGCTGACTTTGCCTTACCTGCTTGTAAGGTGTCTGTGCTGGTCTCCCCTGCTCTGACACTGATGAGCCTGCCCTCATGCTTCCTGTCTTTGGAGGGGCTTGTCCTTCTTTGGAATTCTAGTTGCTTAGTTGCCCTGTGAGGTCAGTCCTCTGATGAGTTCAAGGAACGTTATTATTTTCTATTTTATTTGTCATATTCTTATTGTTAGGGTAGAGGTGATACACTTTCTAACTCTCTACATAGACATGGAAATCAATCTAAGATTTTTAAGAAAATAATTTAAGGCAGTGTTAAACAGTTTGGTCCCAATACAAACTGAGTTATTTAACTCATTCAAACATTTAAAATAGGATTTATAAATTTAATATATTTTATTTTCTTGTTTAGTTACTTCAATTGCCTGATGGCTAAACCAAACCTTTCCAGATTTCTTAGGTAATTTTCATAAAGTTAATGGATTACAATTATAAACAATGAATCCAGGTCTTTCTGAATGTTCCCATACTATTCATAAACTTAATTTCAAATTAAAAATCATGAGTTTAAATCACTTAATTTTAATATGAACCACAAAGTTGGTCTATTACTTGTATAGCCCCAAATTTCTTAAGTACTTCAAGAACATAGATACCAGAAATGAATAAAATACTTATGTCAAGAATTGTAGAGCCTGAGAGTTCACTCTGCTTTCCAACTAACAAGTTTCATTGATGCTGGCAAAAGACACGAGATCCTGGATCAGAGACAAAGAACTTTGTTGCCTCAATAGTAGTAGACAGAGTATCAGTATTTACACCAGTTCCTCAAGTCCCAGTTCTCATAAGGTGATATGAAGAGCCCGGGGACATCTTTACACACAATGGGTTACAGGAGAGGAACCCCGAACTTAGAGATCTGGAATCTTTTATAATAGGCAGTAAGTCCACTTGACCTTTGCATTGGAGGCAGATGTTATCTTTATTATATCAGACAACAAACCAACCTGCCCTTTGTTCTTGAAGGGCACCATCTCTGTCTTCCAAAGCTGCTCAGAAAAACACCCTCTGCTCACAAGATGTGCAGAAATATGAGAGACCCATGGAAAATTGTGTCTCAACACCATAACCACGAAATAATGTTACTATGAGTTGATTCCTCTTAAGTATTCTAAATTCTAATCCAGTGTTTGAAAGGTGTTCTCCTACTAAGAAAACGGTTGTCATTTCAAACAACTTTTGGATTATCTTCTCACACAACTTTTGTGGTTGTCCGTCCTAGCTGAGGAGTTTTTAAGACCAGTGGATTTCTGGCTGGAATTTTGTCTTGCTTCTTGTTAGTAACCTTGACTGCCAGGCTGATCCAGTTTTACAGTCACTCTGCTAACATTCCCCAAACAGGGTGTTCTTCCTGCCTGTGTCACCTAATCTTAATGTTATACAGGATCTCATTCTGCGGATCTCCAGCTTGGCTGCCACACTCTGTGATTGGGTTCGGCACAGCTATTTACTTCTTTCTTCTATTTCAAGTTCTTTTCACACCATCCCTATCTTTTAGACCACAAACCTCGCAGTTATGTCTAACTTTACAGGCTCAACTGTTAAGAATATTTGATTCGATTCTTTCGTGGGATAAAAGAGGGTATCTTCTCACTTAATTCTCTCTTTCAGTTCTAGAAAGTGCTAAGCATACCAATTTGGCTGAGGGAAAGAGGAAATTCTTCCTGTGAAGGTCTCTGTCTCAGAGACATAACCATTATGGCAGCATCCCAGGTGCTGTGGTTGGGAGTTGGGTGATTCTGTCCACTCTGGAAGAACTATGGGCCCCTGGAAGGTGCTTCTCCTCAGCCTGCTGTGCACATCAGCGGCAGCCCCACCCCCACCCCAGGAGGACCACCCGCCATGGAGGCTGAGTCCAGCCAGGAGTCCAACCAGCTCCTGGATGTTTACCTTTACAGCACCAAGGCAGCTCCTAGGGAGAGGCAAGCTCTGACTCCACCCAGACCCATTCCCCAGGTTCCTCCTTCTTCCCTCCAGCGGATCATTAATCTCCCAGGACACACGCTGCACGCTAATTGCGCTCGTAATGGGCAATGAGTCAGAGAGAAGGGTCACCACTGTGGTGACATGGAGCTACCTTTTTATAGGCACATGGTTTTAATGGGAATGTGAGAAGGAATCACTGCCCTAAGGCAGCCTCTGGTTTGACTAGCTTGAAACAACCAAGGCTTCTCCCCATTTCAAATTGTAAATTAATTATAGCCTAAGCTTAGTATCTCAGTCAGCCTTCATTATCCATTCAGTTTGAAGGCCATTACGGACCACAGAGCATCCGGCTCCACCAGACAGCGGCACATCTGTACTCTCAACTCACGGAGTAAAACTTGAGCTGCTATCTCATTTCCCTCAGTTAATAGCAAAATAAAGAGTGCCCCGGGGGAAGGAGACCTGTCAATGGTAAGATAGGCTCACATCCGGGCTGGCAGGGTCTTACTTTCCTCACAGAGCTGCAGGAGGAAGGGGCGCCCTCACTGGGAGCTTTACTGGGGACTGCAGCTGAGCCTGAGCTCCAGGGCAATGTGGAGCAGTTCTGAGAAGTTGTCTCAGCTTCACAATTACTTCTTTGCCAGAATGCACAGAAAACTGGGGTGCTCTTATTTCTGCTTTATGAGACGCCTTGTTGTGAAAAGGGTCTGGGATTCCAGGGATTGGAAAGCAAGTATTGTTGATGGGAACCAAGAGATTTGAGCTGTAGTCCTGTCCCCACTGCTCACTGACACCATCCTTGGATGAGTCACTCAATCTGTTAGTTTACTAATTCCTCAGAGGATGTAATTCTTCCTGCCTTGCCTATATCTGAGGGTTGTTGTTGGAGTCTAATTAAATAATAGGTTAGTAAATAAGAATGCACTCTGTGAAGTACTGTCTTCCTTATTCTAAGCTGGAGTCCAGAGAGTTGGTTCCGTTTTTAGGACAGGACAGAGCTGGCTTGCTCAGGGATTGAGAACAAAGCTACCTGGGTTCTTGGTCTGAAACTATATTCAAGAGCTAGAAAGACTGGTCATGGCTTTCCACCTATGGAACCTATGTTGTCTTAGAAGTGGAAGAAAAGGGGAGGGGAGTCTTCTCTGCCTAGCTGTGAGAGCATAGGTAAGCCACCTAAGTAAGCGAGTTTACCAAGGAAGAGAGTGCAGTGAGAAAGAGAAGACAGCAAACTTGGGAGCAGGAAAGAAGAGAGATGGAAGCAAAGGACTGAAAGATAAGGGGCATCCAAGACTACATGGGGTTGGCTGTGTCCTCAAGCTGTGTCTGGAATCTCAATGCTTCTCACCTCTGCTGCCACCTTGCATAGCCATCGTCTGCAGAGGCTCCTGAGGGCTGTCCTGGCTCTCATCCCCAACATGTCCTACCATTTGTTTTTGACACAGAAGTCAGAGCAAGCAGCATTTAGATAGCCCAGCTCCTCTTAGAGCCCTCAGTAGCTCCTTATTCTACTCAGGGTAAAAGTCAAAGTATTGACAGAAGCCTGTGAGGTCATCCTCTCAGGACTTACCTTTTGCCACTCTCTCCCCTGTCACCCACCCAGTCATATGAGCTTCCAGGTTGATGCAGGCTGTTCTAGGCTGTTCCAGGCTGCTCCAGTTTGCTGCGGGCCATTCCAGGCTGCTTCAGGCTAGTCTAGGCTGTTCCAGGTTGTTCTAGACTGTTCCAGGCTTTTCTAGGCTGTTCCAGGCTGCTCCAGGCTGTTCTAGGTTGCTCCAGGTTGTTATAAGCTGTTCCAGGCTGCTTCAGGCTCTCCTAGGCTGCTCCAGCCTCTTCTAGACTGTTCAGATTGTTCTAGGCTGTTCCATGCTGTTTTTAAGCTGCTCCTCAGTCAGTACCTTAGTCGGCAAACCAACTTTGCTTTTTCCCCCAAACCTCTGGTGATTCCCCAGGAATCATTCACATCTTTGCTCTGATGTCATTTTCACAATGAGTCTTCCCATGAAGACCACTGCAAACTCCCCAGCTCTCTACCTACCTATCAATTCCTCTTATTTGTCTTTCCCATAGCACTTAACACCATCTACAATGCCATAGCTTTTATTCATTTATTACATTTATTGTTTATTTTCTGTCAGATTCCTCCTCTCCTTACCCCTCCCAGCCCCTCACTCCCCCACCCTCACCCCTAGAATGGAAATTTTGTGAGGGCGGTGTTTTTTTTCTATCTGTTTCTTTTCACTGATGTATCCCAGGGACCCAGAACACTGCCAGGCACATGTTAAGTATTTAATAAATATTTGTGGAGAGTGAATAATTTTGTGGAAGGTAAGGGTGGAGACTGTCTCAAGAAAGAGATGGAATTTAACAGTGTCCACACTTCCAAATGCTTCAGAGAGATCAAGGTGAGAGCTGAGATTAGATGGCCAACGTGCACCTTAAAAACTGCAATATCAGTAGCATATTTGGACGGAACAGATTGTGGGGATGATGAGGCGAATAAATGGAAAAATGAATAAATGCAAGTGCAGGCAAGATAAATGTTGACAACTCATCTAGGAAATGCAAGAGCGAAGGACTGTGAGTAATTTGAATGCTAACGTCTTCAAGGAGGGGGGTGTTACTTATCCAGCCTTGATCTAGCAATGATTTAGGGAGCACTGTCTTACAGGCCACAGCCCAGGGATGTCACCTAAGGTTTTTCTAGGTTAGCAAGGAACACAGGCTTGGAACTCTTCATCACAACACATACTGTGCTATAAATGGTATACTGTAGTAGAGCCATATTCATATTTATATTAAATGTTTTTAGGACATAGACCTCTTTAAGAACCTGATAAAGCGATCCGTTGTTTTCTCCTCAGATAAAAACATACAGGTGCTCATATACTAAATTCCACACAACATTTTAGGAATTCACAGATCCTTGAGGCCAGCAGGTGGATCCCTGGGGCTCTCTGTGGAAGAGATTTTCAAAAAAGTATTGGAAGAGGCAAATAAGTAGCAGGTCTGTCCTGGGGGAAGGAGGAAGCCTCTGGAGAAGGGGGCGGCTGAGCTGGGACTTGGAGGACAAGCAGAACTTGCTTTCTCGACTCCCGCGTGGGCAGAGCATGGCATAGCCCGCTGAGCCCATGGGCAGGACCTGGGGGATGCGAG